TGGCGACCTTTCTTTTGATGCAGCCCAATTTTATGAGAATATTACCTTTTCATATTTCTTATTTGCTCTTCTACCTTTTGAAAGCCATGACAAGCATACTGATTAAAAAAAAAAAAAAAAAAAAAACTTAGAAAAACTATAAAGGGAAAGAAACCCAACAGAAATATGCACATAAAAGGCTATCTTAGTTAAGTAGTGACAATTAGCTGAGGTGTAAGTGAAGATGATAATAGCAGCATGCTGGCATGCTGGCATGCTGAGTGAAAAGCTCAGTGAAAAAGGGGAGTAAAAGTTTTGACACAAAACGTATGCTTTCTGGGAATGGGGAAGAGTGCAAAAAGCCATACAATAGAGAAATTATCTTCCTAATCTTTCCAGATTTGCTTCCCTGTATGGGAACTGCTAAGTCACAGCCTGAACCTCTGATTAATCATCTGAGGCGAGCCATGAGTCAGCCAGAAGAGCACAGGTGAAGGCAATTCACCTGTGCTGCAGGAAGGGATGGAGCCAGGCTCCACCCCTCCTAGACCTATTTAAGAGCTGGCTACCAGAGGGGAAGGATCTCTTCTGGAGATCATCTCTCTTGGTGTTTTGTGGTGAGCTCAGCCAAAGGGTAAGCTCTTCCACCTATTCTCTTTTTGTGATCATTGTCTATTTTGCCTAACTCTCTTGATTATATTGTGATTATAACATCTTGATACCTATTGATTATACAATTATATTGTGATTATAACATCTTGATATCTATTGATTATACACTTCCCTCTCACCCGAAGTAATCTTTTTTATTCTTCTATTTATTAACTTTATCTGCCTTATTCCTGTTCAGCACCTGTATTTCTCATCACACTTTCACACCTGATGAGTATCTCGGTAAAGGTGTGGATAAGCAAACAGTCAAAGAAAACCGGAGATTTAGCATATCTTTATTTGCTATGGAAGATACCTATAGTTTTATTTGCATTTTTTGAAGTACATAATTTTATTTTTACCTTATATAAACAAAGGATAGCTACCTGTCAGACATTTTACAGCTTTGCACCTATATCCAAGTATCAAAGAAAAAGAACAACCACCGCCAACCTGTAGTGCATCCAACCCCAAGATAAAGATACTCTGGCATGCTCTGTACACTTGCAGAAGGGAGAAAATCTGTTTTTAAGGACATCCCTTTTCTATTCCCCCCCCCCTCCCAGGCATGAATACTTAATGTACTTCACTCCCTCTTTCTACAAGCCAGAGTAGGCACATAGTTATCATGAAAATATAGATTTCTTTCTCCTTTTCCTGAAGCTGAACCAAAACATTATCAGGTATGTTGCATTGAATAATAAAAGTCACTTAAGCAGTTGTATTTCTTTCCTTTCAGTTGTTGGCACCTGTGTGTTTTAAAAGGCATTTTATAAAGGTTCAGTGCTTTTTAATAGATGATAGAAATAAATACTTTTTTTTTTTCTTAAATTGTGCCACTCCTCTCATGTACTAATTGGTTCCAAATGACCTATAACACATCTTGTAATATACCATTAAAAAAAATTGAGACACCTATACATACCTGAACATTATGTCAAATACCTGCATTTATTACATAGATTATCACATTCTGATGAAACAGCTTTTGATATTCCAGATTTCTAAAGCCTGCCATTAAAAACAAAAACAAACAAAAAAATCAGCATTCCCATTCCCAACAACGTTTAGGAGAAATAAGCAGATCAACAAGGGCATCTTCAGATTTCAAGTTTCTTCTCCCAGATTTGTGCTTGTACATAACAAAAAGGTTTATCTTGCATCAGCACACTGGAATATCACTCAGGATCTTGCAAGTCATGCTGAGGGCACAGTGTTGTTGAGTGGCAACTCAAGAGGAGAGCTGACTTTCAAATCTGCATGAAACCAGACTGTTCCCAAACACTATTTTTAAAACGTCTTTCTAACTGCATGCATCCTTGCATTCTTTTTATCAATGTATTTTATTTCTCCAACCAAAATGGCTTTTTCTGTAAAAATATAATGGAGATGGACTTGAGTTTTGTTTTTTTTTTTTAAAACTGGATGAAAGCAGACATGTCCAAATCTATATCAGCACGGAAGTTCTCCAAAGGCGCATCAGGGCAAAAATGATAGAGCATTTGCTTCCACTAAGACAGTGTACTGAGTTGCTGATCTTCACCTCATTATTCAGATTAGGAATTCCTCCCCTGGAAATATCAAAGCAGTCACATTGCATAGATACAGCTGAGAAAACTATCTCATATACTGCCAATGCAGTTCTCCTCACAAGGATTACTGGAATGAAGTCTTAGTTGTACTTCACCTTGATGATAAATAGATAATGATGTGCAGCTGTCCCCCAGAGAAATCCACACAGAGCAAGAAGCTGGACAACAGGAGATTTTGTATCCCTACATGAACATAAATCGAGGGCATTTGTAATGAAAGGATAAAAGGCAAGGAGAGATGATACCCATAAATTGAACATCTTCAAATCCACATAGTTACTCGGTTTTTCTTCCTTTGGGGTTCAGATAATAGTCTCATCCTGCCAGTTCCCTACAGTTTAACAAGTCTAAAAGAATTATTTGTTTGGTAAACGACTCTTAAGAAAATGGTCATTAATGAGATGAATGAGGACGGTAGAGGCAAATCACACATTGCGCTGTCAGACAAATTCTCCCTACCAGAGACTTTCCTCTAAACAAAATAAGTCTAGGACAGTGTGTAAGTCTGTACAGGCCCCTTAGCATGAGTTTCTTGTGCTGAACCAAATAAATATGCTAAAATACTTTAACGCTTATTCATGAAATGCTAGAAGCTGGTATTAGCAAAGAATGAGCAAATAAGCACAGGCTATTTTTTACTGGCATTTCAAACAGAAGGAAAATGTGCAGAACTTGGACACTGGCTATCCTGCAGGTTGACGTAGCTTCTGCATTCCCAGCCTACAGTAGTGATCACAGCACTTATCTGCCTTCAGCTTCAGAGACAGACTCTCAGTGAGCATAGACCAGAAAGATGCAGTTGTAGCTGTGCTACTGAACTCAGACTTCCTTTTCTACTATCGTGAATCTTGCCTGAATAAATCCTCTTGATCTGGTCACCAGAGGAAAACTGGAAGCACTAGCATTGCAGTATCCTCAGGATGTGCACACCTTTCTATAGCTTTGCTTGAGGAATTTCACAATCCACTGCTTCACTAGCTGCAAGATACACATGGGAACGAGTGCAGGGAGTGCAGAGAAGTGCTCACGGCTTGAGGGTGCACCCCAGGAACATCTGAAAGCAAGCGTCTGTGTTACTGATAGCTGATGGAGGTGGCTAGGTACTGGTTTGACAAGCATTTGAATGAATGCTGGAGAAGACATCTTTAGAAAAGGCTCCTATGGCTGTGGATTATTATCCTGCCGCAAATACTCACAGCTAGTGAAATGCTTATCATTCTACAAGACTAGCAACATTAGACACTCGGGAAAAAAAGAAATCCTGGTTTTGTTAGAGCTGAATTCAAGGTTAATTTCTCATTTCAGTTTGTATTTTGTTTTAGCATTCCCTAAAAGGTAGGAGTGTTCTCACTGATAATTTGCAAGTGCCGATAGCGAAGTGCAGTACTAGTGGAAGTATGACTCGCTGTTCTCAATTTTTATTTAATAATCTTCACAGGAAAAATGAAAGAGTTACATAATCCCTCTCTCAACTCCCTTGCTATCACACCTGTAGGAATGGAATGTTTCTGCATTAGACAACGAAAAAGGGAAATTGATCCTAAGAAGTAGAGCACAACGTGTTTGTATTTTGAAATTTGTCCTTGATATAGCTGATGTGAAAAAGAGGAAACACCAGATATTTTAGTGGCATATTTTAGAAATTCAGTTGCTGAGTTGTGCAATTAATTCTCACTTGCAAAACTGCAATAGTTTTTTAATGTTGCAAATAGTGTGGATGTGGTATTATGGACCAGAAACCACACTGTAAGACTATTCTGTTTGGATAAGAGACCCTCAGCAAAACAAAAAACAGATTTAACAGACATCACAGAAGCCAGGGCCTCCACACAAAGCCAGATTGTCTCACTCTGTGGGTAGGTCAGGATGCAACAGGCATCAAGATACTTCCTTCTATCCTCCTTCCAAACTTACCAAACTTATCTCTATCCAAGGAAGAGCAGATGTCCAGAAATAGCAGAAGTGTCAGAAGTCAAATAATCAGCAATATATATTCCTAGGTAGCAACAATTTATGTTTCCATATGTTTAGTTGAGCATCAGGAAAATTTGAGAACCTGAAGTACTCAGCCAATGAGAAACCAGGGGAGGAAAAGACCAGCGTCAGGTAATAGGGCATAAAATAGAACTAACAGGTGTTTACACACACAGATATAATACACATAGTACACAGTGGCATTGGATGAGGGACATAGCAAGAGACACATTCTTGTCTAAAAATATTTTCTTATAGTACCTTGTAAAAATTTGTTATTTTCAAGAATAAGAAATTAACATTAAGTTACTGCCAAACAGTAATTAGTGCAGAGGATTTACATTTTTCCTTTTCAGAAGGTAACCAAGCAAGATTACTGCTTGAAATATTAGAAATAAGCCAGGAATGAATGAACTTCTCAATAAGGCAAGAGGAGCCTGATGTCTAATTTCCACAGGGGAGGGAAAAAAAAAAAAAAAAAAACAACACAAAAACAGAAGCTATGAAGCTGTTCATAGGGACCAATGAGAGCAATCCTGTCTGGGGGGAGTGTGTAATCAATGAATACACAGATGTCATAATTAAGAAATATACAAGAAAGTTAGGCTAAACAGGTTATTGTGCTAAAGAAGAACAGATGGAAAGCTTACCCTTGTCCTAGGCTTGCTGAGAAGACTCCAAGAGGCGCGATTTCTGAACAAGATCCTTCCCAGTGGTAATCAGCTCTTAAATGGGGTCTAGGAGAGGTGGAGCCAGGCTCCATTCCTTCCAATTGCCTTCACCTGTGCTCCCAGGGCTGATTCATTGCTCACCTCAGGTGGTCAATCAGAGGTTCAGGCTGTAATTCAGCAGCCCCATACAGGGAGGTTGAGTGGAAAGAGAAGAGCAATCCTCCCCCCGCCCCAAAAAAAAAAAAAAAAAAAAAAAGCAAAAAGCAAACTCTACAGAAAAAAAAAAAGAAAAATTAAGACCTGAAAAGCACCCTGACCAAATGCAAGGTACACTAGGTTAGACATGAACAGACAAGTGTGGGAGATACAGTAGGAATGTCTTCTTTCTTTTTAAATGAAGAACACCACTTCTAGGCACAAACAACACAGTAATAAAACCCTCACTGTAGCCAAGGATAACCTTATATTGCACTTGCAACTCACAACACACACGCACAGTTCTGAACTGATACTAACAATTCCAAACGTCGGTTTGCATAGTCACAACCTGTACTCTGACAGACACATACCTTCATTTGACCTTTCAGGGAAATCCATGGCAAGTTTAGGTACCATAAACATAACTTAGCGCTTTGATACAGAGATCTGCTTGTCCCAGTTATCTGAAGGAAGATGTGTTGAAGACAGGTAGATGTGAAGAAGGAAGATGTGTTTGAAGACAAAGGCAGCCTGACCTGGAAGTCTGGGCAGTATAAAGTGGAAAATGGGATTAGAAAAAGAGGCAATGTGTACAACCTAGAATACATCCTAAAAGCACATATTCTGTGTTCATAACCTACAGGCAGATCCACATCTGAATCTAGGTACACACAAAGTCTGCAGGGGTTCAGAATAATATAAGACACTGTTGAAATACTTTTAAAAGGCCCTGCAGTGCTAGAACACAACATCAAAGGCACAACACAGCTGTGACAACAGGGACTTTTCTGGGTGCTAATATGAGACCTGTTCTTTTTTTTTAAAAAAAAAAAAAAAAACAAACAATGCATGGCAGAGATTCATATGCTCTCACAAGAATTGTGTATCTTTGCATAAAATTTGGAGAGGTAAGAACTAACTGATTAGTGATGAGTGTTGGTTTACAAAATTAGCTTTAATATACATATATGATGAATATGTTACTGTGGTAGGCTTTGGACTTCAGTTTCATTTTATACCATGTCATGAGTTACAGTAGGAAGCAAACAGTCACAGAAACAGTTAAGCAAAACAGATCAGTGCATTTTATGAGGCTTGGGAATTTAATAAGCCACAGGCTAAATACTGACAAGCTGCAAACTGGTGGAACAGATTTGTAAAGAGACAGAATTACCATTCTAAGGTTCAGGAACCCTTGAAGTTTACTAGTGGGTTGTACAAGGTAATTTCTTGGCATGCTGAACTTGAAGATTTCAGTTGTTCTTCTGAAGTAACACTGCCATCTAGCTGTAGCTTCCTTATCATACTTACTGCTATTATTATTCGTTATTTAGTAGATACTGTGAATCCAATCTTGTTAGAACAAGAAAAGAAAGCATGTCACATGTGTAGGATATACCTATACCAGGAGGTTTGAATCTGGCCTCAGGTATGTGCTTATGCCTGAGGCAATCCAGAGATACTTAAATTCCTCTGTTTCATGGGGTGGGAGAGAGATATCAAAGCATAGTGGGACACCACATATACTAGGCAAGTGCCATACAAAGCTTGAGAATTGGACACAACTATGCTTCTGAAGATTTGGGGCCAGTTTGACTTACAGGATCTGTACAGGAACAGGAGATACATACCTGCTTGCAAACTTAAACACCTGACATGGGCTTGTGAGAAATAACTAAAATGATTCTTCAGAGACCCGATCTCTTGTGAAAAAGTTGTAATTCGAGATTGCAGTGGTGGGCATCCTGCTAGCAGGAGCGCATAACCACAGAGACATTACAGCCTTATATCCCCTATCTATGGACGCCAAGAATTCCTCCTGTTTCCTCATTAATTGAGTACTCTACATTAGCAATCAACTTTGATGCTCACTACTGTATCTACATCCTAATCCCATTAACCTTTAATCTCTTGTTCTCTGTTACCTCTTGTTTATCATGCTTGTCGCATCCATTTTCCTAATCTCTACAGCTGATCCTCTCACTATCTGCTTATCTGAGCATACCCTAGCTGTCATGCGAGGCTGGGAAAAACAAACACAATTTTAACTCTTACAGGCTATTTCCATATTGCCACATTTTATTAGCAAGCTGATAGTTTGGTCACTCCCAAGAAACTGGAGATATAATCTAAGACTGAATTTTAAGGTTTCTTAGAGCCTCTCTAGCGCCACAGTATTAAAAACATAGTCTTCTAGAAGGAACACACACTTTCACACAAAAAGAAGGGGTACAAACATTTCCTGAACAGGCACAGATCTAGATGATACTAGGAAAAGGTCACACTGATTTTTTTCCATTTGAGAATCCTGATCTTTTCTCCAATAGGCATATAAAATTATAAAATAAGCTATCAAGAACAACTACTATGCAGTTCTAACATCCTTAAGGCATATTTGTACTTTCTCACTTTTAATATGAAAACATAATTTAAGTTTTCAGTGCCTATGGAAGGAGTAGGAGTAGGTAATTTGCACTACCTACCAGAGGGAATAGGGAGTAGACCATTCACACAGTCCCACAGCACATCCATGTGGAAGACAGCCTGAAGAGGCAGCACCCTTTTCACATAACTCCTTTGATTCACAGACATGAATAAGCATTACAATCAGCTAATTGATTATGTATACACTGTAGTTAATAAAAGCAACACAGAAGTAATGCAACTATGACATAGCCTGCTAGGCTTTAGAAAATTAGCTGATCCTGCTTTGAATGTAGGAATTATACTGCTCTAGGTCAGAAACAAAGCTTATTGATCAGCAAATCCTAGAGTAAATCATTATTGATTAATGTATCAGCCTAAGCATCTAAGGTAGGAAAACCACCCCAGCACATATTTGATACAGAAATTAAAAAATAATAACATAGGCAGATATCACAGAAAGCAAGACCATTATTAAAGTATTTTAAAAAGCCATTTTCTTTGGACGTATTGCAGAATTCAATGTTACAAACAATGGGAGTATAATCAATGAATGTACAGATGTTATAACTATGAAATACACCAGAAAGTTTAGCTAAGCAGTTATTATTCCAAAAGAGAATAGATAGAATGCTTACCTGTATCCTTGGCTCACTATAAAACTCCAGAGAAGGGATCTCCAGAAAAGATCCTTCCCCACTGGCAGTCAGCACTGAAACGGATCTAGGAGAGGTGCAGCCAGGCTCCACCCCTTCCTGCAGCACAGCTGAATTGCCTTCACCTGTGCTCTCGTAGTTGACTCAGTGCTCGCCTCAGGTGGTCAATCAGAAGTTCAGGCAGTGATTCACCAGTTCTCATGCAGCAGGAAACATAAAAGTAGAGTATTACTAGTGAAGAACTGCAGAAAGATGTTCGCACCACTCTGCACTGTTGCAAAATTTAAAAATGTTAAGCCACTATGAATGCATTATTTAGGATTAGTAGCATTTTACAGGAACTGTAAATAATGTTGGAGTTGCTAGACAAAGAGGAACAATTGCACCAAACAACAGAAAAATCAAATAAATTCCAGAATCTATTTTTCAGTGCCCAGAGCACTAAGTAGCTCTGTAAATAATAATAATTTTAAAGGTAAAAATAAACAACAGAAAGCCAGTGAGCTTTGTTCTGGCTTTTTAAAAAACAGCAGTGACATTACACAAAAAGAACCCACAGCAGAGCAGGAGCCCTTTGCTGAAGCTGTGTGTTCTGTTCACTCCATCTGCTGTGAGAGGGGCCCTGCCTCTCTTCTGCTCATGTATTGTCTGGTCCGCTGCAACTTTCTTACAAGCATGGTCACACTCCATGTGGGAATGGAGTGTACAGACAGTGAGCTTAATGAGAGTTCACAAGGGTTTTTGAACTTGCACTCGTTTCATTGCTCATGCAGTGATTGATTATGGTTCAAGTCATGCGCAGTTAAAATTCAAATAAGCTCAAAGAAACTCTTTCTGGGAAGTTGCAAGGCATCAGAACAACCCAAAATATAAAGAAATAATTACTCGTGTTTCTCAAAACAAACAAATGGCTAGCTGGGTTGCTAAGGAATTCAGGGCAAGGCAAAGCAGCAGAAGTGGCTGAGTGCTGTGTCAAAACAGAGCTTGCTGCCTGATCCTGAGCAATGCTCTGCCCTCAGTCAGTCTGAATCTACTGTCTGCTGGAACTGGATCCTGGTAACAAGCATCAGAGAAAAATGTATGTTTATTGCATGTTTTAACAAGAAGCTGCATAGAGAATTAATGATTGCACAGGAATATCCTCCAAGGTAAATGCCACACAGAATATCCGAGGTATCAGAGGTAGATTAACTGTTAAGAACTTAACATACAAGACAAAAATAGATATCACAGTTAACAAGATTTTCTTTCTCTAGCTCTCTGGATGACTTCACAAGAGCTTTAATGATATTTCCCTCCTTATTTCTCATGTGTGAGTGCTTTTCTTCTCAGTTTTAATTGTCCACAACAAAGCTCTTTCATCTAGCTTCCTTGCCTCCTGTAGAAGGATGGAAACACGCTAAGACAATAAACATGCATCTTTTTCACTGTTTTTAAAATGAATGTGTGTATAATCAATGGATATTAAGATATTATAATCATAAAATAAACAAGAGAGTTAGGCAAAGTAGACTACGATAACAAAAGAGAATAAAAGGAAGGCTTACCCTTATGCTGGACTCACCACAAAACACCAAAAGAGGTGATCTCCAGAAGAGATCCTTCCCCACTGGTAGCCAGCTCTTAAATAGGTCTAGGAGGTGTGGAGCCTGGCTCCACCTCTTCCGGCAGCACAGGTGAATTGCCTTCACCTGTGCTCCTCTGGCTGACTCATGGCTCGCCTCAGGTGATCAATCAGAGGTTCAGGCCATGACTCAGCAGTTCCCATATACTCCACCCCTTCACGGCGTGAACCAATGCTCAGGTTAACTAAAGGGTAAACTTTCCCTAATACAGAGATCCGGTATATCACGACGCTTATACAATTTTATCACAACACGTGTTGGTACAATTCAAGACGAGTGACGATCAGTGGATGTCCATATTCTTCTATGGGCCAGTGCTTGATGATGTAACTGGAGGCATGAGGTCCTGAGGTGCAGGTCCGTTCTATGTTCCATCAGTCCCATGCAGACCATCACCGGGTGTTGTACGTGATCTGACAGCAACGCTGGAACGCTTGATGGCATTTTGTTCCTTCCGATGGTCCTGAAGGCTCACAGACTCATGGGGAGTCATACAGATGTTTCAGAGGTACCAGGAGGGGAAGGTCTGCTCTCCAGGGCAAGATATAGGCCGTATTTCTGTCTTGGGTGAACACTTCCGCTTTTACTGGGGCACGTCCTGGCTGCCTGTACCACACCTTCTGGCTGGATGTCTGCGGCTGCATAACGATATCAGGCACCAAAGGAGGTGTCCTGATCTGCCACAGGGACACAATGGGGGTCCCTTTAGCAATAAAGATCGGAGTGTTGACCACAATATCAGTAGGCCATGTACCTATTACTGGAGGGACTACTGAGCCTCCCACCTCCAATAGTCTCCCCCAAGGTGCAGGTAGGCCACACCACTTGGGTCCTACCTGCACCTTCCAGGGCCATTTTGTATTATGGGTACCCGGATCTAAATTCTCAGGGGCAGAGAGCAGAAGATTATTTTCGTTACCAATCTGGGGTCTTACCTGATGATCAATGCCCGTAATTTGGATCCTAAGCCGGGGGGCCCATGTCGTCTGCAACATTCTCAGGGCACTGGGTCTGCCGTCTTGAGGTCTTTCATTCAGGTCCCACAGGGTTTTGTACAGTCTTTTCATCCACCCTTGCAGGAACTGGGAGTCTGTCTTCAGGGCAGCCTTAAGAATACCGTTATAACGTTCGATGAGGCCTGCCCCTGTTGGATTATATGGCAGGTGGAATCACCATTTGAAGTTATTTTCTTTTGCCCAGCGCTGTATCGTTGCACCAGTAAAATGAGTCCCTTTGTCGCTCTTGATGACTTGAGGTGTCCCGTAGGCAGACATCAGTTTAGTGAGTGCCTTGATGGTATATGCCTGGTTTGCTTTCGGTACTGGATAGGCCTGCAGTAGCCCAATTGCAGTGTTGACACAGGTCAGAGCGTATCTTGCCCCTTCGGAGTGAGGAAGGGGCCCGATGTAATCGACCTGCCATCGCTGGAGAGGATTGTGTCCCCTAGCAAGATGGGCTGTTGTTTTGGGCAACAACCTTGGTCTCATCTTGGAGCAAGCATCGCAATCCTGGCATGCCTGGACGATATCAGATAGTTGTATGGGCAGTCCCCATGCTTTAGCAGCTGCCCACATTGTCTTTTGTCCAGCATGCCGTAGCTTCTGATGTAACCAGCGGTCAATGTTCTCAGATGGTGAATTCTCAATCCATGGAACTCAGGCCAGTGTGTCGGCTTCATCGTTTCCCGCTGACTGTAGGGGCTGATGACCAGAAACATGGTAGACACATACAGTCCTGTGTTTGACCGTATTCCATATATCTAACCACACGTCTTTGCCCCAGATCAGTTGGGCGTGGATAGTCCATTCCTGGGTGGCCCACTGTGCAATCCAAAGAGTGAGCCCCCAATACACAGCCCAACTTTCTGTGCAGATATTCAGGATACCATCACCGGGTTCCTTGGTTATAACCATCCACACGGCTCACAGTTCTTCCCATTGGCTGCACTGACCATCTCCCTCGTCGAACCAGATTGTCTCAGTGGAAGGATGGTATGCTATTGCTTTCCACTTGCTCAGGTTGCCCTTGCTGGACCCATCTGTGCACCAGGCATCTTCAGGGATAGGATATTTTCCCTCCTGAACGGGACTCTTCTCTGGTGGAGCAACCAGTATTTCTTTTGGTGCATCACTGTGATATGTAACTGGGCCTAGGATCTTCTGGAGTTCTTCTTTCAAGGGTGATGAAGACAGACTACTCCTTTGGCTGAGATAGGCGATCCACCGTGCCACTGTTTGTGCTTGGGCCACCCCTGTCTTAGGAAGGTGGGTCAGATCTTTCACCCACCCCTGAATTGGCAGAGTGGTCTTGACTATAACTGCAGCTGTTTGAGTTATTGGCTCTACCGCCTGTAATGCCAAATACGCAGCCAATAACTGTTTTTCAAACATACTGTATCTTTCTTCTGCTCCGTGCCAAACCTGAGACCAGAAAACAATGGGGGTCTGAACAGAGCTCTGGTGTTGCCACAGGCCCCAACTGAAGCCGTCTTGAGTAACATGAACATCGAACTTGGCTGGGAGGGTAGGATCGAATATACCCAATGCCTGGGCTTGTTTAACTGCCAGTTTCGCTTGTTGGAAAGCATCCTGTTGGTTTTCCCCCAGTCCCATAGCTGCCCCTTTTTTGTGAGTCTGTATAGTGGCCTTAGCAGCTGCGCTAGGTGAAGTATAAAGGAACACCAGTAACCCAATATACCTAGAAACTCTTGGAGCTGCTTTGATGTTGTAGGGATTGGAAATGCCTGAACCTTATCTATAACAGCACTGGGTAGCACTTTGGTCTTTCCTGACCAATCCACCCCCAGGAATTTTATGGACAGGCCCGGACCTTGCACCTTTTGGGGATTTGTAGCCTATCCCCTCTGTTGTAAATAGGCAGTTAATGAATCTGCCGCCTGTCGTATGGCCTCCAGTGAGTCGGATGTCATCAGGAGATCATCAATATAATGATATAGGTTAACATCATCAGGTTTTCTCCAAACAGCCAGGTCACGTGCCACTACATTATGACAATATCTTGGTGAATGCATGTACCCCTGTGGCAGGACCTGACAGGTCCACTGCCTGCCTCCCCACGTAAACACAAACTGATCTTGCGATTCCTCAGCAATTGGGATACTGAAGAATGCATTTGCTAGATCTAGGACACAATGATAGGTTTTTATCTCCCTACTCAATGTGTCCATTAGGGAGGCAATATTGGGTATGGCCGCATGAATAGGCGGCGTGACCTTATTTAATTCTCTGTAATTTACTGTCATTCTCCATGTGCCATCCGACTTTCGCACTCGTCATATGGGGGAGTTATATGGGCTGTGTGCAGGTCTTGCAATGCCCACTTTTTCTAATTCCTGCACTGTTCTCAATATTTCATCTTGCCCACCCGGGAGTCTATACTATCTGACGGTAGTAATCCAGCACGATTTCGGCAGGCAAACAG